CAGAATAGAAACTTAGCAGAGTTAGATAGTGGACTTTACCTGAAGTAGAGTCAAACTTATTGACTTTAACATCCTTAGGTAAATTTGGCAGTTTCGCAACCAATGCCCCTTTCTTTGGCAATATAAACATATGGACCCTTTCGTAATGGGACTATCTCATACTTAGCTTTTCTCTTTACCATTTGGTCAACCGCGTTGACTATGGCCGACCCCTTTCCATTGGGAAGAGAATGCTTTTTCTGGATTTCCATTGTCATCATTGTCAATGTCCATAAAGTTTTTAGGAAGTTGATCTTAGCAAATAGATAAGATCATTAAGGATCTTGTCATAGTCTGTTTCATTGGTGTTCCAAAAGAACTCACTATGTGACTTAGAAAGTAGTTGAGCCACCAACTTTCTCAAGACTTTGACACCCAACTCTCCCAGCTTGTCAATATGTGACTACATCTCCAAGATGTGATCACACATAGACCTTTGCTTACCAATAGGGCTTGAGTGACCTTAAACTTTTCAGGAACTTGTGGGTTAGGGAGAATAATTGGAGGAGGTGAAAGAAGTATGATTTCCATGTGACATCATCTTCATTTAGGAAAGCTTGTTTCAAGAGATTTGGGAAGATCATAAATGTCTAAACCAGACATCTTTTGGGAGATATTCAAGATAGTTGATTTAAAGTCCTTAATATAAGACCCAATATGAAATATTAAGGCTAGGACCCACCACAATATTTTTATAACTTAGAAGAGGGATGCCTTAATCCAAGCTATAAAATATTTGAAGGTAGGCGAATGACGATTCACCAATTTCCACCATGAAAAACAAAATATATATTATTAGGTTTTGATTGGTTTTTGAAACTCCTAGATCTTTGAGATTCATTGAACTGTTCAATGACATGTTTCAATCTCGAGTGTGTCCTTCAGGTTTTGTGACTAGGATGCTGAGGATCACAAAATAAGGTGTGAAGTAACCATGCAAATTACTTGGTACCCTTAAGTGTTTACCCCTCAATTGATGTGTCGGTTAACCACACACACTCCATCGATACTATAATAAACATTTAGTTACCCTTTTCCTACCTTGCTAAATACAAGTTAGTGTGTCGGTTAACCACACACGCTCCACCGACCGACAAAGAAAGTGCAAAGTGTAATTTCATGGATTAGCACCTTATTCACATTTTCCTAAGTAACTAAGATTGGGTATTTATAAAAGGTTTAGTTACTTAGTATTTATCATTAATACTTTTAATGAAGGGAGAATTCTACTCCTTGTCCTACCCGTTCAGCTAACAACCTTCCACCGGTTAAGGAAGCGGTGGGTGGGAGTGGACACCCATTAAACTGCCATTTTATAGGCAGTAACCTTATACCCCCTTATAGATCGGCTTTGTGAATGAGTCCTACTAACGGTAAGACTGACTTTACTCTTATACACACACACACACACACACACATATATATATATATATATATATATATATATATATATATATATTATTAACTTATAATATTATAAAGTATAACGGTTGAATTTTAACTTTTTAAAATTCTAAGGGCTAACTTGGAATTAAAGTATTCATGAGAGAAAACTTTTCAAATTCCAAAACTTGAGGGCAAGTTTTGAAACTATTCAAAACTAATTTATTCCATAACTTATGTGTTTAAAGTAGTTTTAATCCAAAAACTCTTCAAGTTCCATAACTTGAGGACTAGTTATAGAAGACTTTAAACTAATAAAAGAATTAACTTATCTTTATTTTATAACTTATGGAATTAATTAAGGTTACACATTTTATTACTTAATGAAGTGACTCTTGAACTTCCATAACTTGAGGACAAGTTATGAAGTCATAAAACCATTCAATGAGACAAGACTCTTCATTTTGTAACCTTTGCCAACTTTTATGAGTTTTTTGAAACTTAAATGTGACTTTTCAAAGAACTTGAGGACAAGTTACAAAAACACATTTTAGAATCAACTCTTAGATTAATTTGGATTGAAAACACATAATCAATTAACTTTTCTATTAATATAAGCAACTCATAAGAACAAGATAATTCAAATCAAACTTTTTCATGTAATTAGTCTAAACCTTAAACTAATACAAAACATGAATCTATTGACAATTATCTTTGAAATTGGATTAGCATGAACATTACCACATCAAAAATAGGTTTATAAGTCCAAAAACATCTTAGGGTAATGTTCCTAGTCCAATTTCAGCCAAAAAAGTCGAATTTATGCTGTCTAGGGCTCCTACTCGTCGAGTGCATGAACCTACTCGACGAGTAGGATGATTTTACTCATGGAATCGGCGAGTTCATCAGTGGACTCGGCGAGTCCAATGCCCAGAAACCTAGAAAATTGATTTTTTCAGCATTTTTCAGCAATTTGCATCAAGTATAAGAGAAAGCAAGCCTAGGCTCTGATACCACTGTTGGGTTTTGAGCATTCTAACACTCCTAAGGGTACATGCAACCCTAAATACCTTGGATCTATGTTTTCTCTATTATACATGCAAATATAAACATCTAAGGTATTATCCTAATCTAAGCTATAAAACAGTAAATATAACAAGATAGAATACATACCTCTTTGATGTAGAATGTCTTCATGAAGCTTGAGTGCATAGTGCCCCAAGTGTGACACCTCAAATGGTTCACACAACACCAAATACAAAAATAGAATGACTTGAGAGAACTTCACACTTCATGAAAATCGGCTAGCTCTCCTCTAGCATGATACTAGGGCAAATTTTGGTCAAGAATAAAATGCATATATAGTTAGGGTTACACCATGTAAACCCTAACTGACATGGCCTTTCATTTCCATGATTCATGGGTACAAAAACACCATGGAGCATCCATGAAGCATGATATGGGTTTTAGCCCAACTAGATAATCCATGGAGCATTAGCCCACTATATAAGTATGGATGATTTACACAATCAACCCATATATTTAATTAGTCTTCTTTTTATCACTTAATTAATCCTAGATTAATTCTTGATCAATACTAATTAAATAATCTTATTAATATATCAGAACTTATAATATATTAACCAAACTTAAGTGTTATTTCTCTCATTATAGTCTATTGAAATGCATGATGCCATGCAACCCAAATGGACCATGCCGGGTCGGGTCAAGTCTTACCAACTATAGTTATGGACTTTGACATTAATCCAACAGTCGTATCCTATGAGTTTTTAATACATAATAATGTGTGTGAACGAGATGAACTATCATGAATGTGTTGTAAAAACAAGGGAACTTACAACAATTCCTATGAATCACTTGAAGAATAGTTTCCTGGGAATGCCTTCATTTTGTTTCTGGAGAGAAACATAAGTGCTTGAAAATGTATGAACTTGTTTTCGTGAGAGGAAAGAGGGAAAATTTGAAGATGTAAATGAGGATTTGGAAGGAGGGGGGTTCTCGACCTTATATATATATATATATATATATATATATATATATATATATATATATATATATATATATATATATATATATATATATATATATATATATATATATATATAGACACACACACACACATGAGGGAGGGGGTGAGGGTGGGGTCGGTGAAGTGACATTTGCATTGGTTTCTATAATTTATCACGTTGGAAAAAGATCCACCAATCTTGATCAAGCAAACACCAAAATCTCCATGATTTCAATCCAAGCCCCAACCAAGAACACCACCGAAATCACATGTGATTTCGGTCCATGCGAAATCGAGATCCTAAGGATTTCGATCTCGACCACTAAAGTCTTCAAGATCTTCGGTCCTAACCACCGAAATCTCAAGGTTTTCGGTCGTAACCGAGAACCTTAAAAGCTAGGTATAATTTTTTATTTAGATCATAGCATGTTGACTTCCGTTGACTTGTTTGACTTTTGTTGGCCTAAAACAGCTGATTATCACAACTAATTTAACACTTGATGCAACTTACAACTATTAACAATTGTAGTACCTTACATGTTTATGCAAAGAATATTGGTAAAATTCATTATTATGTTGATTTTAATATTGCAGGAAGTGGTTGCCTTCTGCTATGAAGATCTTATCGCAAATAAGTAAGCCTATTGTAACAAAAGTCTTGACCTCATTGATTACTTTTTTTTAATAATCTTTTTTGTATGTTGTTATAATGGATAAAACATGTTGATATATGTTGTTTTTTTTCTAATTATATATGCTTTTTTTTGTTAAGGATTTACGAACCCAACTTGAAAATGCGGAGAGGGAGATAATTTTGATGCAACAAAACCAAGAAAGAATGGAACAACAATGACACAACTATTGAGTCAATTTGGTAACCCTCACGGAAATTTATTTTAGTTTTATTGTTGTAAACTTTTCGTAAAACATATTGGTGAAGTACAAAAACTAACTGTTTTGGTGTAGAATTCGATAGTAGTTATCATTTTAGTGATGTATTAGATATTTTGATAGTATCTATAATTTTGTTGAAGAATGAAATTGTATCGAATAGTTGTTATATATGTTGAATATTATTGTGGTTGAAAATGCATATGGTATAAATTTGTATTTGATTTTTTTAGTTATTGTACAATATTTGCAAATAAATTATGGAACTTCAAATTTTATAGATTTTAAAAAAACCTTATTATTACCAACATAATACCTACAGAAAAATGCATTAAATTAAGTTCTTTTGAAAAACAAAACCGTTGGAAATTTGTTGGAATGGACTGTAGGAATTATGTAGGAAAAAAAGAACCGTAGGAAATCCATAGGAAAAATTATATCAAAAAGCATTGTTGGAAATTTCTTACGAAATTTATTAGAGATTTTGTTGGAATTTCGTAAGAACTATGTTTCCGATGGCCCTTTTTCCAACAAACTAGTTTCGTTGGAACTTTGTGGTTAATCTTTGTTTCCTACTAAATAACAACACAATGGCTTGTAGGCAACCTTCCAATTTTCTAGTAATGAAAATGCTAATAAGAGTTTTATTTAATTTTAGACAATTATCTCATTCGAGAGCTGAAATTACAAGATTAATATACACATCAAACAGAAGTAAATGTTTTCCACAACAATCAATTAAATATCCATTTTTAGCTTGCGAGGGGTATAGGTATAGCAACAAGTGGTATTGCCTTAAGCAATGTAAGACCGAAAATGGTATTCATGTCCATCTCTTCTTTCGCATGAGGAAGCTCCCAGTCAAAATGATAAACAAATGATGCCACTATCAAACGTACCATCCTATTAGCCAAAGGCATTCCAGGGCACCTCCTTCGACCCGACCCAAATGGTATAAACTCGAAATGTTGACCCTTATAGTCGAGTTTATTAGTCAAGAATCTTTCAGGCATAAACATCATCGGGTTTTCCCAGTATCTTGGGTCCCGTGCTATGGCCCATGCGTTCACAAGTATTTGTGTGTTTTTTGGTATAGTATACTTTCCAAGTTTCACTTGGGTCTCGGTTTTATGAGGCGCCAATAGCGGTGCAGCTAAGTGAAGTCGCATTGTTTCCTTGATTACACCATCCAAATACGGCAAGTTAATGATTTTGGCTTCTTCGATTTTTCCATCTTCTCCCACTATTTGTTTCACTTCTTCGCGGACTTTTGATAACATATCAGGGTTAAGTAATAACTCCGTCATCGCCCATGTTATTGTGTTTGAAGTAGTATCTGTTCCGGCTATGAATAAATCCTATAATTTAAACGAAATACTTTCAGTCATTTGAAAATATCTACGAGATGGGATACCGACATATATAGTGGATGAGACATGCATGTGGGAACTCCAAAAATCAGATAGATTAAACAATAACAATATAATATATCAAAAAATATGATCAAGAAAAACGACAAGGTGCTATGAAGTGCCGGAGCTTTGGTTCTGAACAGATATCTATGCGTAGTTTCTGTAATCAAGAAATTACACCAACTCATGGTTGATCATTATGTGTTTGTTCAGTAAAGCAATGTCTTGGTGGCCTAGGATGATCCTTTCAGATCAAAAGATTAAACATATACGGAAATTAAAAGGAAATGAAACGAGGGTATTTACCACAAGTAAAGACTTGATGTGTTGGAGATTGAAAATGGCTTCGTTTTCTAGACTGTAGTCGAGCATTGAATCTAACATATCACCACAACTGGGCACCTTCAACACTCGATTCTTAAGTCTCTCATTTACGAAACCTTCAATCACTTCATCCAACCAGTTGAAAGCCGACTTCGCCTGACGCCGTATGTTCTGTGGGTCCAATTAATGGTTTCAGCACCGGAAATATGTCTGCAATGTTGAACTTCCCAAGCATCTCCATATAAGTCTCCACAGCCGACTTGAAACCCCCGATATTTTCAGAGACATAGCTGGTCACGTTCTGTGAAAGAATCGTGTTTGACATTTGGTTAAGTGACACCGCAAACGCCAGCTGTCCAATGTCCACTGTGGCCTTTTTCTCCGCCGACTCCCGCAGGAACTCCACCATCCCTTCCACCACGTTTTGGCGGAGGTAGCTGAGACCGTCGAGTTTCTGTCGATTGGTCAGATACAAGTTGGTGGCTTTCCTCATAGCCCTCCAGGTCTTGTCAGGCGACATCCATAAGATCGCTGCTTCAGGGTGTTTCAGAGCGTTATTTACATCCGGTACGAGGCGACCGGAGCAAGCGTCGTCATTTAGTTGGAGGATTTGTCTGGCAGCATCAGGTGTCGATGCCACCACACTGGTGATGCTGCCCAATCGGATGGTCATAAGAGGACCATGTTTGTGTGCGAGGTTGGCTAGGGATTCATGGGGTTTTGATCCAATGTCGAGGAGGTTTCCAATGATGGGGAGCCTGACGGGGCCAGGCGGGAGTCTTCTTTTCCGGTAAAGATCAAGGCCATGGAGGAGAATCAAGAGTATGATGAAGATGATGGAGGAGAATATCAGGTGAAGATGCTCCATTGTATTTTCCTTAGTTTCTATTACCATATATAGTGACTAGTTGAACAGGAAGCAGAATATATTAATACGTATGAGCTTTATTAAATTCATTAAAATGCCTTCACGTTATTTTGTGTCGAAATACTAGTTTAGATACAGTTCTAATTGCATTTCCACGTGACGATTAAATTAATACTACAAATGAACACATGTTCTTGATAATTATTTTAAGAAACTAAATAATGAAGTAATTAAATGTTACACCTCATTATGCGAATCTCATATTATATTGAAATCGAATACAACTCAGATTATATATATATATATATATATATATATATATATATATATATATATATATATATATATATATATATATATATATATATATATATATATATATGGGTTTTATTATTATTATTATTATTATTTTGCCTTTAGAGAATATCAACATGTATTTTACCGGTCATTTTCGTACTTTTACCCACATTAGAAGGTAGCATTGCTTTGTCAAGTGCCAAGTTACCAAGTGAGTGAACAATATCCCCAAAATTTTGAAAACCTACAACAACTACAATCAAACATGGTGTCATACTCTTCAAAAAATCTATACCCACAAGTCGATAAATCGATATTCCGCATTTTCATCAACAAATCCTTCAACTCCATCCATGTACGCAATGCTTGAGACAAAAGATCTCGCTGAGAAACTGTAACATCCATACAAATCATGCCAAATTTAAACTTTTTAAAAGATTTCAGAACTAATGATTATTACAAAGCTTGTATTCAAAATAGTTTAATGTCAGAGTATCCTAAAATCAAATAAAAAAATCATGAAATATGAGGAGTTGTATGATGACGCATTCGCCTTTTCATGATCATCAGAAGTACTTGAAACAATAATTGATAAATGTAAGCTCGAAGGCTTAGTGAGTTACCCCCAAAATACCAACGCCATATAGATATAATCATATCATATAAACCAATACAGTATGCATAATGAGCCATAAGTCTGACTGGACCGCCTTGCAGGCCATCAGACTATCTGGACTACTCTCCGAACCTTCAACACGTTTGGACCACCTCTCAGGGCCTTCAGCCTATCCGGACTGCTCGCCGAGTCATCGGCCTCACTATATATCATCGTAGTTATGTAGTCTATCCGGTCCGCCCTGGGTATCTTGGCGTACAACAGAAAACAGGACCAACCTCAACCCAATCCCCCAATCCAACTAACATGTGCACATAAATATCATACGCTAGGTAGCATATACAGATAATCATACAGATCTAAGAGATCACTAACATGACACCCATCCTATAACCAGGATACAGATCTAACTAATTACTAACATAACAAGCATCTTATAACCAAGATTCCGATCTAAGAGATCACTAACATAGCATGATCCTATAAACCAGGATATCGACCTACCAAGTCACTAAGCATATCACCATCCTAATTACCAGGATATACATCGATAAGCATATGATGTAATAAACTTGTATATAAATTCAATAAAGGCTGACATTGGTGTCTTAGACCCTATTGATATAGTGAGGAGAACTCACCTCACGAGTAGCTCGAAGTGATAAAGTCAAACTCCACCAAATGCGGCTCATAGTCCAACACCTACATCCACCGATGATCAAATTCCATAAATTCCCAAATTACCAAAATACCCACAGAAGTCAAACTAATCAAGCCTTGGTCATAGTAAAAGTCAACGGTTAAAGTCAACACTCCAGGTTGACCCAACTCGTCGAGTGCAGCTAACAACTCGCCGAGTTCCTTGAGAACTCATAAAGTCATAAAACCCTTACCGACTCACCGAGTTTCCAACCAAATCGTCGAGTCCATGCGTGTCTATAAGTCGAGGTAAAACCCTAACTGACTCGTCGAGTCCTCTTACTGACTCACCAAGTTCATGAAGAATTAAATACGTGAACCTTCATCCGACTCGCCGAGTCGGCTAAGCGACTCGTCGAGTTCATGCAGTCCATCACTTATATAGATGTTTTAAGCCACCCCAAAGCCCCATGTTGCAGATCCAACCTCTTAGGGCATGGTTTCCACGTAAAGTTGCAAACTTTACGTACATGCATGGTCCCAAATGCCAAAAATAGATTAAGGGAAAGGTTAAATGAATGGGAAAGGCCCAAGCTTGCCAAATCTCATAACTTTATAGCTATAGGGAGCAAGGGGAGTCCAGATCTAAAGTTACAACTTCAGATCTTGCCCCAATACTTGAAATGACTCGTAAATGTGCTAAAGATAGCCCTAAACCCAAATATGAAGAGATTTATGTATCTAAATAGATATGTTTATATGGACTATATTCGTTTTCACATTCTTGTTCAATAGTTGTTCTTGTACATTTAGTCACATATGATTTATGTACACAATATTCATTTTTACGTTTTTGATTAAATAGTTTTTTTCTTTTTCCACATTAATCATATGTGATTAATATATAAAATCACATATGATTAAATAAATAAGAAAAAACATTGAATCATGAATATTATCAATAAAAAAAATCATATGCGATTTGATACATATAATCACATGTGATTAAGTACATGAGTACAACTATTGAATTGAGAAAGAATAATGAATCTTGTCCACATAAATCATAAGTGATCAAATGTATATAATCACATGTGATTAAATATATTATAACAATTATTGAATCGACGCAAGAATAAATATTTTCCATAAGAATCATATGTGAT